AGATTTACTCATACTTCCCCTGAGCAAATATTCAATCTGCTTCTATGGCAGCCAAAGGAGGATGCCTCGCAGACTAGGCTGGCCTGAACTCCAAAGTACCGTCAGACGACTGATGGCCAAGAGGGGTTTGCCGTCGTCGTCGAGAAGGACCGAAGTGTGCACTTCTTCATTCCGACACGCATCAATGCACATTTCATTGACGCGTAGCTGAGGCTTCCTACAATCGGATGAATAGGCTTCACAATGAAACTGACTTCCACTTAGCCTCCAAAAAGCCTTCCCGTCTAGGTTGTAGTGGAATGCAGACTCTCTCTCCCTCTCACCTCATCATCTCAAAAGTATCCTCAAAGTTATTAAATTCTCGGTTGTGCATATCGTACCGCAGTTTCAACTCCACCACACAGCCACGGGTGCCAGTCTGTATTTCAGGCCACGCCCTAGAGCCAAATCACATATTTATGGCAGGATTGTCTAATAAGCAAACATGCGTTTGCCATTACAATTGACAAAGTTACTTATTTTCGGTATAAGTAGTTTATGAGACTATTGAATGAACTAGGTTGATCGATTACTCATTCCAAATTTAACGATAGTCTAAAAAAACTACTTATACCGAAAATAAGTAGCATCGTCGATTGCAATAATAGAATACACATTATCATAATCAATAATTATCTTATAAATGTAAGTTTGGTGAGGTTTATATCGCCGTGAATGTTGCCTATCTCCTGTGACCCTGTAGAGTGGTGGAATTGCCATGTACTCATGGCCCGGATTCTAATCTCGCTCGGAATGAGGCCGATTCAAGAGGGGCCGAAACTGCGATCCAGGCCAGTCAGGTCGAGATGAGATAGCCTTTTGGGGGCAAGTTTTGGGCAAATTTAATGGCTTCCTGAGACGTGCTCATCTTATTGTGTAGGAAAACTTCACTATCCGATCTTAAATAATCTTAACCGACTCATGGGGACTAGGTCCATATGCGACAACAACTCAGCGGGGACACATTCTCTCGTCGTGAAATGCCTTCTGAAAGTGTCTTCCTTGTCCCCGGCTCTCCAAAAGTCCCAACTTCTTCGGTGCACAAGTAAATGTTCTGGCTGTATGATGTCAATTCGGTGGAAGCGAGGTAAATGCGACAGAGTCCTTTCTACAGTCAATAGGTGCGTGCCCTAAATGGACAAACTCTCGTCCTCCGAGACCCACTTCCACCTGACCAACTGGTCTATCTTCCATTTGTACCTTGGTCGTATTTTCCCTGGCCCTGCTGAATTCGTATGGGTCCAATTGGCAGCTGAGATTTGAGTATTCTGCCGACAAAAGAGGACACCGGCTCGGCTGTTCGGCCATGCCAACAGCGTATTCCAGAGTGGTCCTACGGAGGGCTCTAGAGTGGGCTTGCTTCGTGTTTCACTATCGCATCAGACGGGGTATGCCGGGGCTTTTGAGATCGTCTTGAGAGAACGATGCTTATCACATGCTGCCTGCGGCGCTCCAGGTCCCGTCTCCAATTGCCCTTACATTCGTCTCCTCCTACCCTCCCTTGAGACCTTGGTTACTGTCCTGACAGTCGCGCTAGTCTGGAAGCAGCCGTTCTTTTACCCATTATTTGGCATATGAGTCAGTTTCTTATTGAATTTGTACTAATGCGCATCACATACATACATACATACATACATACATACATACATACATACATACATACATACATACATACATACATAAATATCATACATACATACATACATACATACATACATACATACATACATACATACATACATACATACATACATACGGACAGACAGATATAAATACAGACATGCATACATAAGTAATGTCATCTATTAGAATGACATACGCATGTCTGCTTAACCGAAAATCCGAATATACATATGTGAATTGTGAGAGGCCTGACTTGCTTTGAATGTAGAATTTGTCCTGTTAAGTGCTGGTACCCATGGCCGTTTAGAGAAGTGGTAAAATTGACGACTTGGATTCGAATCGCGTCGGGGGTGCTAATGAAATCAAGTAATATGAGATATATACATCCAATTTCGTTTAAGGTGATTAAAGACTGGTAGAAGAAGAATTTTCCCACAATTATATGAGTTGAGCTGAAGTTTCAATTGAATTTCACATAACCTTGCTTTCCCAAAAGTTGTTCTCATTCAGGCACTAGTGGACTGCAGTTTCGACCTCGCATCGGTCTTAGCAACACTCTCAGCGGGAGTCGAACCGTGACTGTGCAACATGTGAGCTTGTGAATTTTAATGGAAGGAAAGCCCTTTTTGCCATATCATATTCTTTTGGTGGAATTGTTGATGAAGCAAACGTATATCTGCTATAACAATGGGCTACTATACTTTATTTTTTCGAATTAAGTATTGTTTTCGAGACTACCAGTAAATCAGTAATATGAGATGTATTCACATAATTTCGTTTAAGATGATGAAGGACAGGTAGAAGAAGAATTTTCCCACAATTATATGCGTAGAG